ACAATTTGAGGGGGGAGGGAATTAATAATTTAGTACTAAAACAATGAGGAAAGTCTTGCATTGTGCGTGTATTTTAGAGTTATCACATAATCAAACGATATAAAAATTATAAACAATTTAACATACATATATTATTTTTTTTATCATTCAGTACATAACAATACAATGTAATATATGTAATTTTTTGTTCTGGTAGCCCGCAACAAAAATTTGCCAATAATTGAAAACCAATTCGGATGTATGCCGCCTATATCTAAAATAGGTATCGAAAACCTACAATTCAGATGCAGCTAGTCCCTAAAATTGCGTGACTACGACACACTTTGTGTAGACGTGTAGTACAAAAAATGAAATATCTACTACGAAATTCAAAAGTGTGTAGCAAATAATAATATTTTTTTCTATATTATTGATATTCATTGGATTGCTCATATTATGTAAATAGTTGGCAAATACTGAAATACGTACTTACCTTAGTACCTACTCCATTTACCCATGCTCAAATCTATAGTATCTATCTATCCAAGTGTCCACAGAAATTAATCGAAAAAGATAAAAGAAATAAATCATGTACCGTGAATAGGTTAGGTATACTGGGTAGGCAATTATTAGGTACCTAGGTATTTAAATACGACATACCTACAACTTACATGCATGCAGTGTACAAACTCAGTCGCACGAACTGTATGGAAATTTGCATATGCCGTTCAAGTTTAAAACACAAAAAAAATAAAAATGAAAAAAAAATGTATGAAGCAATTATTATAGGTACAAATAGGTAATAGGACGTTCTGCATGATTGTATGATTGCATAATATAATTTATTATTTATTCGTTTATTATACAAAAAAATGTTAAATATCATAATTTGTATTTGTGTGTTTTTTAGTTTGTTATATTTATTAAAGTTTTTGACTGTTTTAATGAAATAAAAACCAAGCATACACTATTATGACATAATTAAAACAATATTGTTAATACTGAAATGTTTGTCGTATTTACCTAAATATAATATGTTACTATAAGCAATACAACAAGCCTCCGTGGCGCAATGGCTAGCGCGTTCGGCTGTTAACCGAAAGGTTGGTGGTTCGAGCCCACCCGGGGGCGATCTAATTTTTTTCAATTTTTTTATTGAAATTTAAATGTCACTATTTAGACAATTACAACAATATGTGAAACTCGAAAACTACTTTAATTTATAAATTACTTATTATATTGATTTGGTCACAATCAAACCAAAGAATTAATACTTTAAAAATGTAAATGAAACCTAAATAACTTATTTAAAAAACATATTATTTCTGACTAGTTTTAGGCTAGGATCACACCATGCGTCTTGTCGGCAACCGAAAAATACTATCCAGTATCCCGATTAACCGCAATCGGGACGATCGATCATACTGTGCGTTTTATCGATAACCGAATATATACAAATGAGATTAAAAAGCCCGAAAATCGTTTTTAATTTAAATTTTAAACTGATTTTTTATTTAAACGAAATGTATCTAACATTATAAGTAAAAAATAATAAAAAGGTTGTATGATTAGAATTATTTGTTTTTATTTAAAACGTGTATCAACTAATTATGCTAATAAATAATAATATACATCTATAATATAAATAAAATATAATGTATATTACAAATATATTTTAAGTTTTTTAATTATTTAAATTTAAAAATGATTATTAATTATTCATAAAATTTTCAATTTCAGTATTCAGTTACCGATAATCCGCGCAAATGTGATCGGACAAACTGCATTGCATGTGTTGTGCTTTACATCCCGAAACGCAACCGGACGGTTGGGCCGCAACACGTTGCGGTCGCTTCCAGACGGTTTTTTAATCGGTTCCGCAAATCGGTCTAGTCTGGCCCTGATAACGCGTTTTATATTTAAATCTATTTTATTTTAAAGTGTTGCGGTTCGGCTCCGGTTGGTCGGGAACCGACAAAACGCATAGTGTGATCCTAGCCTAAGGCACACACCCTGACAATAGTAATACATTTAAAATAAATATTTAAGTCAGTGGTCGGCAACCGGTGGCCCGCATCCGACCCGCGAGTCTATTAAATACGGCCCGCTTTAAATTCTATAAAAAATAATAATGAAATTTAATTGAATATAATTGAACGTTTCTATCAGTCATATTTTGTAATAGTAGATATACTTGACAGTTACCGATAAGATAGAGTAGATACGACGAGTGTATTTGGGTTATAATCTTAATTTTCGATTGTGCTCAGTAACATTGCGTTTTTCAAATCACATTAAGCCTAATAAGCAGTTGTAATTTCCATACTTTTATATTATAATATTATTAAAAACTGTAATTTTTATGTTCTATTAATCTATTATTTTAAAGTTATAAACAGATATTTTTTTCTTAGTTTAAAATTTTGAATATAAAATTTTAATTTTTGTCTGGCCCGCGAACTCTTTTTAATTTATAAATGTGGCCCGGGAGTCTAAAAGGTTTCCGACCACTGATTTAAATTAATCCATGAATTATTCATATTTTATTAATTTCACTAAAATACAATGAAAGTTTTAAGTATTGTAACAGAATAAAATATTTTGATGAAAACTAAAGTAGTAAACTAGTAAATATTCCTGTTTTTTTTTTTGTTTTGGAATTTAATTTTTATCTATTATCACTGTAAATACCAACTAGATTAAATTTTTTGTCAGAAACCATACTCAAAATAAAGTATTAATGTGCTTTTAATGCTCCAAATTATGAAATATACCAAAAATTCATTGCTGTTTGAGTTGTTTCACATTCAAACACATTGTTAATTAAATCTATACATTAATGCATTGCTCCACTCAGAATCATCCGTTAACAATTAAACATAATGACTAATTAGTAATGAGTATCATAGCAAATTTCAGCATATTTCTAGAAGTCTTATCTGATTTCTACAACTGTCACTAAAATCTTCACGAGTTAGATATATTTTAATAAAAAAAAAAACACAGATAAATTTTCTTAAATATAAGTTTAACAAGTACTTTATTCAAAATTGACAAATTTATTGAATGTATATTAATTAAAATATATTAATTATAAATCAATTAATGCAATATTTCTTAACTTTACACATCTGTTAAAGGATACCTAATCATAGTTCTTATGTCCAACATAAATTTCAGTAATTCAAGCAACAAAAGTTAAATATTAAGTTCAACTAGTGGTAAATACTTATACCATTTTATTTTAAATTATTTCAAATTATCTTTAACAACTAAACGATAATTTTTTAATTAAAATGAATAATTATTAATAATGAGACATTTTGAACAACTTAAATAACTAAGAACATGTTTAGGTAATTCTAACACGGTGTTCCGCGGAACTCCGGAGTTCCACAGAGATCATTACAGGGTTCCATGGAGCTTAGGCAATTCTTTCAAAATTTGTACAATTATTATTATTTTTATTTTTATTTTGCCATATTTTTTTTAATTTAATACCTTAAACACATTGTTATAACCTATATAAAATAATCATAATTTTTATTACAAATAATCTTAAAAAAAAGTAGGGGTTCCACAGATAAAAAAGTTTAAAAAACACTATTCTAACATTAAGAAGTACCATAATGACTTCAAGTCATAAATACGATTAAGCAAATACAAATTCAATGATTTCTTAAAAATAAAAGTATTTGATAATTTGTATAATTAATTTATTTAACATTAAAATGGTTACACTAAAAATTATTGAACTTGGCTCTTTATTTATATGAAACTACATGTAAACATAAGATACCAAGACTGTCATACATTCATGTAATCTATTATTCTAATATATATTTATTGATACTGTATAATAAAATATCAAAAAAAAAAAAAAGATTTTACAATTGTCTTTTATAGAAAATTATTTAATAGATAAATGTATTATTACCATTTGGCATTTATACAGTGAATAATCTAGCTTATTTTAATGTGACTAATAGTATTCTTAGAACATTGAGGATTCATATTTTACAATAAAATAGATAAAATAAGTGATACAAGTAGAAAATTTAGCATAAATACAGTCAATAAAACATACACTAAATTCAAATACATTTTCATCGCATAATTAATTATTGTGATAAATGGTGAATGCAACATACAAACTTAAAAATGTAAGCTGAAACATACCACATACAATACGTAAACATAGCACATTATAATAGTACATATACATATATATCAACTTCAAGAATTAACATTCATCATCATTGAAACTGTAACATAAGTTTTTAGTTTTCGCCATTTAACATTTAACTATTAGCAATAAAGAACAAAACATATTCATCAACTACTTATATTAGATTTTTCACTTAAACATTAAAATTTTTAATAATTTTTACTCAGCCTTTCTAATAATTATTGACTAATTGTAATCCAATTAGAACATTTTAGAAAGAATATCGTAAGATCAATTAAAAAAAATAAGTTATTAAGTGGAAGATATTTTAGGAATGACATAAAAAGCAAGACACTAAGTAACATTCATACCTAGTATACGTAAAATAATTAAACATCTCATTCAGTTGAGCTCAAAACTTGTTTAAAATTACATGTATATTAATTTAAATCAATAAATTATAGAACGGCCAAATGTGCATAATTTACTCTCAATCTAATAAATATTTTATTATTATCAACCAAAGATGCTATTATTGTAAATAATTTAATATTTTTATTTTTTATGGAATTTAACATGATAAACGGTAAAATATACTATGATACATTGTATTAGAAATATTAAAATAATCAAAGATTACAAAAATATTAAATAGAACTAAAGATTCATAGCTCACATACACAAGTTAAGAAACACAAAAAAATATGTTCAAATATATAAACATAAAAAATTAAAGTTGCAATAATATAACTTAAATTTAATATATAAATGGAATGAAAAGTAAAATATAATTTGTACGATAATTAATAAAGAAAATAGATCTCGTTAAATAGTTTAACATATCAATTTCAACTTTATAGTCTGAATCATTATTAAGTTTCATGAACATAGATTATAAATTAAATATGTATTAGTATAAATTATACTACTTAACTAAAAATCAATTAAAATCTCTTATTCAAATAAATAGGAACACTGAATAAATAGTCGGAGTGAAAAGAATTCAATTGAATCTTATATTCTATAAAGAAGTCGTTGTAAAAAGAATAACATTCCAAAGTATCATTTTTAAACACCATGGCTTTATCATGATTAAGAGCACACATAGTAGTTGCTTCATCAAATAATATATTAAAAGATTTCAACTTCTCGGTGTACTCGTACATTGGACAAAAAGTGTGTAAACTAATAATACGATTCTCGTCATAAGCTGTAAGTTACATAAAAAAAAAAATATGATTATTTTGAATTTATTTATGTAAACATAGAACTTACCAAGCAAGTAAACCATACTATTAAAAGAGGTTGCACAAATAACCACTTCATCATTTAAATCTATCAAACGTCTGTTCCACTTATAACCTCCTCTGTTAGGTGAAACAATATTTAGGTCATACCATTTTGGTTCTTTATCTTTAGTTATCAATGCTAAGGTACCATTATGCTCCAAACTAGTAAACATTTTTCTATTCGATCTTTGTCGAAAATATGGGCATTCATTGTTACCAACTAAAACAAGTGTATCTCTACCTAAAACAAATAAATTATAAAAATTAAATTTACTAATAGAATTACATTAAATAATAGTAGCAAAGAATCTTGAAGAGGTATAAAGCCAAGAAGGAGAAAAGAAATAATTTACTTCTACTATATCTATAGTGCTCGATTATTTGATTTGGCAATCTGTGTTTTGTAACACCTCCAATTAAATACAAATCATTGCCACAAAAACATCCAACTCCATGGCGTCTATTGGTTGGATAAAAACTAAAAAAAATTAATAAAATATTATTTATATTAACCACTAAATATTTTAAAATTTGTAACTACTTTTGTAATCTCTTCCATTTTTCTGTCAGTAAATTATACTTCCATCCTTCCTTATTCCATGTTCCTCTTCCAAATGCAATTTCACCAGCCAACACATAAATATCTAAATCTATAAAAATTTAAAGATTAAATAAATACTATATATACTATACAATAAGTATAAATTATTTTTGTTACCTTTAGCGAACACATGATATCCAGTTGTATCAAGAGGCAATGGATCCAATCTAATAAACTTTATAAACTGCATAGAAGTCCAATCCCAGCGGTAGATAAAAGATTGACCATCATCTTCATTTTTAACAGCACACAAACCAAAAGGAATACATCTAAACGGTCTAATTACATTACTTACTATGTATTCATCCTCATCTTTTGCAAAATCTATATACGGCTTGATGACATTTTGTAAATTTAAATTTTTAGTCATTGAAATACAACATATCAATTGTTTTTTAGTCATTTGATTAAAATGCACACAACTAACAACCAATTCATACTCAATATTGTAATTATTGTTTGTTAAACACCAATCAATGATTAAATCGAAAACATCTTTTTCATTGCCAACATTTAAACTATTGCTATTCAACAATGATTGTAAATCTCCTTCATTTAGACTCAAGAAACCAACTTTATTCTTTTTCAATATTTTTCTGAAGTTATACAAAACAAAGGCACGTGCTTTATCAAATATGTTCTGCAATCCAAGCTTAGAAACTTCTGGTAATACATCTATCGCATAAATTGTAAACAGGTATTTTTCTTCGATAATTTTAGCCGCCTGAAGATATATGAAAGAAAACTGAAGAAGCTGTGATACTTCCAATGTAAGAAGTAAATCCTCCAAACTCTCAAAAACAACTTCCTTATTTTCCAAACAATTAAGGACATTCATGAATCCGGTATGGCTTATATCCTAAATAACAAAATAGATTTTTTAAATATTTTTCATGAGCATGAGTATAATAAATGTATTTAAAATACCTAACAGTTCTTAACCATGACTATTGGGTCATTAGAAGAAACAAAAAGTTCATAATCAAACTATATACATCATAATATGTATAACAATGAACTTAAAATATGCTTATTCCTAGATTTATAATCTGTATAACTAGTTAATTTTTATAATGTTTAATATTTATATAATACAATATACTATAAGGTTATAAGAAAAATAATTATAGAAATTTCTTGTAGAAAATTAGGTCTAATTGTTAGTAAAGTCAAAATCGAAAATTCTCAGTATATTGTAAAATAAATCCCTCCAAAAAATTAACATAAGAGAAGTATATTTAAATAATAAGAAATAGTAAAATAGATTACTATGTAGAGATATAAATATATGATAAAATATAATTTATAATATAGCTGACAGAATTTGTCTTTGCTCAGGATTGTTATATGAATGCAATGAATATAATGGATAATATACTATCCAAAAAGGATGAATCTGCAGAAAAAAGAAACATCTTTATAAAATCAATAAATAAAAAGGCAGATTAAAACAGGGTTGTAGATTAATAGGCATACTTCCAAGACAGCATCAATTTATAAACACTAAATAATAGGTAAGCAAGAAAAAATAAATTTTAATCATGAATACATCTATAGACACCTTTATATGTATTTTATGTCCTGTTTGAGATTCAACAAAGTATCCACTGAACATAGCTTGAAAATATGCACTATGTTCGATTAAGTATGATTTATTCAATTCAACATCAACATCATTATCAAAATAAATTTTTACAGACTGGTCATCAGATTCCATCTCTTCCATATTGTTCATCATTACAACTAAAACAAATCAATATAATTTTAACTAAAAATGATATAACATAAATAATACTTATTATTGTCTTATATTTTTCAAGACTAAAATAATTGAAGTTACATAAATATCCTTTAAATGTATTATAAGATTATACAATACAAATTATTCATAATATCTATCACTGTTAAACAAGTTAGTAGTGGTCGGAGAGTTATGATTATAATATAGGTATTAATTTATAACAATTGAAAATAATTGGAAATATTACAAATATATATAAATAGAATTTATCAAGTTAAATAGCTTATGATACATAAACAAACTAGTCTAATATCATGAATAACTAATTAACAATGTTTTTAATTATAATATATTTTTTAGAATTCCTAATGCTAAAGAATTTTTTTTAAATATTAAATTGCATTAATTAAAAACCGTAAGTTTCAGATACCTCACAACTTTTTTACAAAATAATTTTTAAAATAGTTTGATTTTGTATCATATGTTCTAAGTATCCATTTATTATTTATTACATATATTTTTCATATTATCTCCATAATACATAATTTGTTATTATAAACATAACAACTATTTTTAATATAGACTTTCAACCGGTAAGATACCTAAAAATTTTAAGTTGTTAATTGCTGATCCTACTAAGTAATATTTATATAAATAATATAATATAAATTAGTTATATTATTAATGTATTTTATGGTTTAGTTAAATATTTTATTTATTTTCCAAACACTACAGATAGAATTTTTCATTCCTAAATTTGATTTTATTTACCTAGTAACAAGAAATTTAAATAAAAATTGAATATTTATCAATTCCTAAACAGAAAAAAAAAATATTAATTAATTGTAGTACGAAAGATAAATTATAAAAAGTATTTAAGTTGTTTATTAGTAGAAAATTATTGTTGATATCTCAAACATATGTATTAAAAATATATTAAAAATGATTAAAAAAGTGTACTTAAAATGATTGAATGTGTAAAATATGGTTAGTCATACACAGTGATTGCAGATAGCTCAAGACTAGAAGTAGTAAAAACTATTAAAAAAGTGACTAAGAGACTAAATTTAATTATAAAAGTAACCTACAAAAATATGTTTAACTAATAATTTGCTGTTATTAAATATTTAAATAATTAATTGACATTTAAGTATTTCTGAAAAAATTATTTGGTCCACAAAACATGTTAAAATATTTTTACAAATAATCCATGGAACAAAAGTCTACAGGAACAATTTTTTTTTATAAAATTAAAAACACTCATTTATAAACATAATATAATATAATATACGTATCATAATAATATTATTTTAACAAATTCAAATAATAAATTATATAAAATACTTGTTTTCTAAATAAATAACTAAAAATTAATCAATTTCAAAATAGTGACTAATTTTTAGCCCTGATGACTCATAACTTAAATAATAGAACACTGCTAACTTATTTTAACATATGTTAAGAGGTGGTCATACCCAGATGTGTGTCTTCGTCTAATACAGCGGTTCTCAACCTTTTTTCGTTCCATACCTCTAAGTTTAATATTTTGTTTAATTGTACCCCTTATTATCATTTTTAAACTTTTTTACATAACTACTTTTAAAATATTTAAACAAAAAATTCTGTTACATTATATACTCCATATCTATTAGATAAGTTGATGGTAAAGTTTTAATTTGTAACACAAATTTTTATTTTAAATAATATATAATGAATATTTTCGAAACAAATTGTTTTAAATAAACAAATTCAACATTTTCTGCCATTAGCCAATTTTTTTTCACATACCCTTTGAGATCATGTCGCGTACCTTAAGTTGAAAACCGCTGATCTAACAGATAACTTAGCATATTTTCGTTTAGTAGTTTCAATTTTGTGTTATTAAAGTGAAATAACCAATTACCTATCAAAATCAAATATTTGGTTAGAACATTTTCTATATTATCTCAATGGTTATTTAGATTTTTTTAATATTTAAACGATTTATGAATGATATTGTATTTTACATGTATTCACAACTCATTCACTCTAATTTTTAAGCCAACAATACTAAATTGTAATTTCTGAACTTACATGTTAATATATTATGCATTAGTTAGGCCTATAATCTTATGCAACATACGAGCGTAACACAATTGCACACTTTTTACCTTTATATATGTAAAAAAATACTACATAATTGCACACAAAATTAATCAAATTTTATGTCGTTGAATTAAATGATTATAGTTTAAAAAACTGTAGTTCAAAATCTGAACTAGGTGTTTGGTTGAAACAATGTTTTTTACTTAAATGTTTACTCTTGGAAAATGTAGAGGATACTTTTGCTTATTTAATAGAAAATATCCCTTCTGATAATTTTGAACTCACCGATTATATACTCAATAATTATAAATAATCTAGTGTCGCTTTTCTACTGATTTTATGGGCAACCGAAGCTGAACCTTCAACAAAGACAAGAACTTAAAGATAATTAGGTAAAAGGTGCGCAATCATGCTGTATTTTCTCAAATGTGAAAAAGTAAAAATACAAAATCATATTATGTTTTTTTCAGGTATAAAGGTAAAAGTGCGCAATAGTGTTGAACTGGCAACATGCTGGTATCCAAATAATAACTATTAATAATTTAATAAAAACTTAAATAGCAAAATCAAGTCCATTCATTTTTAATCAATTAAAATAATATTTCGACTCATCCGCCATTTCCCCCCCCCCCCCAAAGTCCGTTCCAAGGTATACTTATGTAGTGCATACTTACACGTTTGTTGCTCAAACAAATCAGTATAGACCACGCTCAACAGATAACGAACAATCAAAACGATAGTAAACAATCGGTCCGCAACACCACGTTGGCGAGCCTTCTTCACTATTCCATCGAAACAGCAACCGTATCGTATTCACCGTAAACGCAAAGGTTTATCCACAGGCAGGGCGTATGAATATTTCGCGTACTCCGCTGACCTCAACCGGCGAACCGCTAAGCAAAATGTTAATTGACGTGCCGATGTTATGGACAAGTCACTCGAACGACGGAGCAGCACATTCAAAAGACGCAGCTCTCATAGACGCATACCAACACGACCAAAGACAAAACCTTAATGGCAGCTGACGCAGGGAACATTGACAACGGCTGTGCAAGTACTACTACTACACTAGACAGGGACACAATAAACACCACACACACACATATTAGTTGGATACCTTGAATGTGCGCATGCGGAAAAAGTACAAATGCGCATAAACCGTTCGTCGGCACAGTGTTCAAACCTGAAACCACTATTTTGGGTAAACCAGTGTGATCGTCCGTAAATACTAAATAGCGTTCGCGCATGTTTGTGATACCTGTACCTCCATCCGTGGTATAATTATTGTTGTTGATGTGGTTAACCGGCCCAAAATGTGATAATATTTCGAGTACGATAACAGCAATGCTGATAATTGTTAACCGACGGCCGACGGCTGACGCTAAAACGCCCGAAACAAGGAACAACTACTCGATCACTCTCTAGTCTCTATTGAGTCTATTGTAGACTACGATTTCTATTTAATTTTGTGAAAGAATGTCGTGGAAAAGTTACAGAGGATGCCTGAACGTTATCCTCAAGTGTTTCGTCTCCGTTTTACAAACGTTCGACATAATATCAAATTTGTGTTCAGCAGTTTCAATAATGTGTTGACCTGTTATTAATCTATAAATAAGCTGAACACAAAAGTAAACCAAACTAGCTGAAATAATCTAATTTCTTTCATAGGTAGGTATAGCTTCTTTGTGATATTATTCATATGCTTATGAATAACTCCAAAAAAACGTATCTGAATACATTTTAATACATTTTCTTGGAAGTCTTAAAATAAGTAAATCTCCTTAAGAGGACTTCACACTCATGTGTGTTGTCTCTGTTTTACAAACATACAACATTAAAAATTGTATGTTCATAATAATTCATTTTAAATTTTAATATTTTTTAAACCTGAGTAAATTATTATAAATATATACTATGCATATTATAAAATTTAAAGGTAAGATAATATTAATCTAGTCATCTCAAAGACTTATTGATATTTTAATTTTAAAGCAAGTTATGATCATTTCAAAATTTACAATTTTTAAATTTCTTATAACTTTCTTTGTATTAAAAATATCAATGAAAATCTTTAAGATGATTCTGATAATAATCATTGTTTTGCATTTTATATTAGTACAATTCACTCTAATTTTAAAAATAACAGTGTAAAATGGATTATTGTGAACCTAATATTATTAATATTGTTTATTTTTCCATGTTTATAAAATGAAAACAATATATGCAGATGTGGCTTTTTCTAAAAGAACTAGTTAGATTTGATAGGTACTGTGTAGGACTACTTGACTCTTCTTGCGAGAAAGTATGTATATACAAATAAAAGTAGACATTTTGAACCCCAAATATATTTTTACTTTTTCATTTTGTTCTGAATATTTGAGTAATTTATTAATATTATTATAATTATTTAAAGTTAATAAGTTGAAAATAATATAATAAAAATGAGTTAGACATAAATACCTATATATCTGAAATTTTCTAAACAAAATTTTCTACTTTCTACAAAGATTTTCTTACCTCTGCAAGACACTAAGACAGGTTTAGTCATTATTAGGGCTCGGAAGTTGATGCATTTTGCATTTTTTTTTTGGAACTTTTTAGACAATGCTCTCCTGGCCACAAATCTGTTTCATAAGCATGTGAATCTAAATAACTAATTTTTATTTTGCATTTTTTGGTGTTTATTACTTTTTAAGTCATTTTTTGAGATTTTTAGGTCATTTTCCCACATTTTTAGTTATTTTTACTGATTTCACACTAGTTCATTTCTTATCGTTTCTTGTTGACCATTATACCGATAACTTAAACTACAGACATTTATAAAACAAATATTTTTAATTTTTTAATTTTCCCATTTTAAGGACATTTTTGTCATTTTTATGTCATATTTTGAATTTTATAGTAACATAGAGTAAAATATTTTTAAAAAATGTATTTTTATTAATATAAAACTAATATTTGTAATTTTTTTAGGACATTTTTTGCCATTTTTATGGTCAATTGTATGGTCATTTTTTATTGTTTTTAAGGTCATCAACTTCCGAGCCCTAGTCATTATAATAATTATAACTTAAACTTGGTTCATTATATTTGATAAACATATTTCTATTTACTATTTACTTGATGTCTTTACATTTTAAATAAATGAACCTGACAAAACACTCATAAAAATGTAACACATTACTATGTACACTGTACACCCAGATACATTGTTGCTTGTTGGTACATAATTTCTAAAATATGTATAATAATAGAAAACCTGATATTATTCAATAATTTAGTTTTAAAGTTCTAATGAAATTAATTTTTTTTTTTTAAATATTTTATAAACACAATTACTTTATGTTTACCTAAATCGGTATACTGTTGATTCAAATTAATGAATATAATAAAATAGGGAAGTTCCCAAAACTAATACAAAAACACACTGTATTAATACATAAATATTTAATTTTTTACTTAAAAAGCAAATAACATTTTAAATACTGCAATAACAACTTTATTATAGTTAACATAATTAACAACAATAATTATGTTTGAATTTGAAATCATATTATCAACATAATCATTTTTGTTTTTATACTATGTATGCACCTTCTTAATAAATGAACGGTTCGAATTTGTTCTTTAATAAACAAAGTAACACTAAAAAATAAATAATCAAAGTATTGTAAAAAAAAAAAATGGCCTTTTAAATATAGCAATGAAACCAATAGCACATAAATATTATATTTCCTACTTTTTGTACTTTTTGTATCATTCTAAAATATAATTCGCAACAAAACAATACAATAATTATTTAGGTGAACCCAAGTTACAACTGACATTTTATCATGTTTTATTAATCCAAACCTAAATCTATATTTATAGTTTATGAAAAAATTAACTTTTTAATTAACATTTTTTTCAAATGATACTTTGAGCTTTTATCATAGCTTTGCCAATTTTTATTTTCATTAAAACTGATGTAAGACTTTCATTTTTAAGATGATGCAACCAACGTATCAAGTTTTTTCTCTGCCTCGGCAAAAACTTCCTCGGCACTTTGTTCAGCCGATATGATCACTACTTTAGACTTGTATGCTTCTATAATCGGATCATTATTATCGTGGAACGTTTTCAATCGCTTTTGAATTGTTTCCAAATTGTCGTCTGACCTACCACTGGTCTCAGCTCGTTTGAGCAATCTCTGCACCATTGTCTCGTCTTTGGATTCCAAGTACAATACCATATCTACCGGTTTTATCTATTAAAAATAAAACATTTAAAATGGTATTTTTTAGTAATTAATTCTACCAAAACTTAAATTTAAGAGTTTGCATTTCAATTAAAGTACTTTTATTAAATTTTTAAGTAAAGTCATAAAAATCGTAGACATTAAAAATGACTAAAAAATATATGATATTTTACATTTCAAAATTAAACTTCCTATTTTAAATCACAAAACTGAAGGTAACGTTTTTATACTATTTTATGTTGTTATGTTGGACGTTGTTAGCTATTATAAATTTTATCAAGGTTTTTATTTAAGACACCCACTACCTACAATAATTTAAAATTCGAAATACAATTTCTTATTCTTGAACATTGTATGTTTAATAAAAATAGACATCTAGTAATCTTTACTGTGCCATTCTTTTTAAATATCTACCTAATGTTACGTGTATAATTAAAAAATACCTACTCGTTGAAGTCATATTTTTATAGTATATAGAACACTAATACTTTAGCAATACTGTAATATTTATATTATTTTAATCAATAATAGTATAGAACTCTAACAAATAGCATTTACATACTGTGGTGTATAATATGTAATAAATATTATTATAAAATGTGATAAATTCGAAGAAATGTTTATTAGTATGGATTATTTTAAATACAATTCAATAACCACTTAGCTAGAAAAATAATAAAGAACATTTTTAAATCTAAATGAACAAAAACATAAGAGCAATATTTATATTGCCTTATTAAAAATAGATAGATATAATTTTATTTATGAATTTAAATATTTTTTATTATTATTATTAACTAATTTTTCATTTATAACTTTGTCAAACGATGAATATATTATGATTCACAATATACCTACCTATGTTATGTTTGAGTAATTTATAGGTAATTAAATACAATTTATTGTTTTTGTTTTTTATATTTATAAATTTTAGGTTTCAACTGCAGTGTTTATTAGCCTTTATAGTCGGTTTTTACTGTGGAGAAAGGTACTGTTTTGGAACACGTGTATAAATTTATTATTATGATGTTAATACAAGGTTTTGGAAATTAAACTTTTACTTGTATAAATCCATTTTTATTCTCCCAAAACTATTGTTTAGTATTTTGTACTTTTAAGTAGTTTTAAACTTTTAAAAAGCAAATTGGCACTTTTTTACTTTAAAAATAATCTATAAATTAAATCATTAAATTTACCGCAGTTTCGAATTCTTCTCCTTGTTTTTTTTCACGTGGATAACCATCGATCAGAAAACCTTTGGACGTCGCTACTTTGCTTTTGATCTTTTCATTGAGTAACTCCATCACAACAGACTAAAACATAAACCCGTAAATCCATAATACAATTCCTGAATAAACATATGCCTAGAAAGCTTACCGTCGGAACTAATGCTCCTTCTTTCATAATTTTCACCAGTTCTTGCCCACGTTCTGATCCTGTGTTCACTTCATCCCTCAGCAAATCACCAGTCGAAATGTGAGTAAACCCATATTTTGCAACAATTTTGTCGCAGAGGGTACCTTTGCCGCTACCAGGTCCACCTATTTTATTTAATACCGATAAATAAACAATGGTTTAATTCAACTATTTTAATTCTTTCATCTTACCAAGTATCCAAACGGTTGGGAGTGTGATTTCAGACATATTGATGTATATTGATTATAATTTATAACTGTTAAAAAAAAAAAAAATTAAAAATAAATTTTAAACTTAGAAACAATTATCAGTTGTGTACAACAATAAACTTAAATACATAATATTAAATTAAAGAATTATAATATAATTAAAAAAATATATATATAAATAATATATACATATAAACTACACGCTATCTGATGAGGCCCAATGCCCATAAAGGTCATTAGCTTAAAACAAAACGGGTAGATATAGATATTACAGAAGGTCATATTATTATATTATGCGCACGTTTACAAGCAAAATATGAAAATATGGATTTTAATGAAAAAATGTACTCAATATTACTTCCATGAACAAAAATACATGAATAACAAATTTTATTTTCACAAATTAATAATATTATTCAAATTTTTGGACAAAAATCTATTTATTTTGTTACAAAAATATTTTGTATTGATTTTTGGAAAATTGCTATTGTATAAATTGTGTCTTTAACATAATTTGCATATCTAAAAATAAAAGGTCGTAATTTTTAAAGTCTGGCTAGGTTTCAAAAAGGTTACTTAATAAAAATCATGACAGTCAAATTTGAAAAACTAACTAAATGGGTATATAGAATTTGAAAAATACTATACCTATTATTTATAAATACCTACTTTCTATAAATATATTTTCAGTAACACTTCCACAATTTATCTGTTATTGTTTTTCACCGATAAAATTTAATAATATTAATGATAAATACTTACATGCACTTACGACCTACATTAAAGATGTAATTTATGAAAATTTAGTAAAAAAATATTTGGCAATTCTAAAATATGAATGATATCCGCATAGTTCAAATAATATAGTATATTATTTATATATTTGTTAAATACTTTTGAAAAAAAAAATTAAAACAATATTATACTGCAGTAAAACTACTTATAATATTATAGTGTTATGTCTCTTTCTAACTATTAGATGTAATTAATTTAAATTATTGTTTTAAATACAAATACGACTTCTTCATACAAAATAAACTGTTTTATCTTGAATTGTTAATGTATTCACAGAAAAAATATTAATAACCTTGTAACATTATGATTCAGATTGCGATTTACGGTTGTTAAGGTACATATTTAACACATAGCAAGCATCCGTCGTCAAGTGTTTTAAAACGTCAAGGACAAATGTGAATTAAATCAATAGACATAAACAGAGCTCATAAAATAATTTATGTTGTACTATTAACGTTAGACTAAACATAAATGAAGATGATAAATATGAAAATAAGTTAGGCCGATGACTAACTTCGTAGTTTTATAAATGAGAATTATAACAAAATAAATGCAGACATTAAATTCATTAAAATAGTTAATTATTAATTGGGTAAATACGCAGGCACGTAATAGTAAATGAAATGAAGTTAATATTTTTTAAAAGAACATTATATATAGTATGGTATTTAGAACATACTATTTTATAATACCAAAAATTAGTATATCACGTTTTTACTTATTTTTATAATAAAAAAAGTTTCAACAAAAAGAATATTGAAAATCGATCTATAATTGTATAAAAATTAAAAATATAGTTTCTTAAAATACGAGTGTATTATTTTAAAATTTACTAAGAAATTTGAGCTTTTTTCCAATATTAACTAGCAAATTATAAATAATTACTAAATATACCTATGTAGCTAGAATGGTAAAATTAAATAAAAACTAGATCCAATACACTCTGCTGTTTATAAGACACATATTTTTGGAAAAGGTGTATGAAAAGGTAATTCTAATGAAAATGAGATAGATAAATAAAAAAATTAATTAAAAATAAATAACTTATTCACCATTTTTAACAAATAAATCTGTACTCCAAGAACCAAGACTGACAACTTAAAGACTTAAATTACAACTAATAATAATATGTATTTATACGGGTATATAATAGCGGTATTCCTTCCTACTATAATAATAATATTTTATACCTAAGACTTAGGTACTGTTTTATTCCTATGAACATGAACATTACAGCTATCCCGCACGTCTATACACATTTAAATAATCGATTTTTAAGTTAATACTTTTCATTGAGATAAACGAGAAAAAACTACGTGACGATTTAAAATCAAATTTTTCATGAATCATTGTTAAACATATAAAAAAAATACATAGATCATAGTACATTTGTACTAAAGCTTTATCACATATTAATGTACAGATAAATTAAATTTTTTTTAATGTTTTCACATGACATACCTATTATATTTAGTACATTACTTATAGCTAGTATGATATTTAATGTATTTGTAAATATTTTCTTTTCTTAATTATTTATTGTATGATACATAAATCGCATGTATGCTTCATTGATTAAATACTAATACGCCTTTTTGTGTGGTGCATACCAACATTATTTGTAGGTTTCCCTCGCGGTTATAACGTGGTCGCCGATAATGACTATATTATTACCTATCCAAATAAAATTATATTTCTCTTTTTCATGCAATAATGAAGAAAGAAAAAAGTGACAATAATCAGTATGGGTATGTCTACAAAAATATGTCTTCCTATTATATAAGGATTTTAAAACATATACAACAAAGTGACCGTAGAAAACACCTCCAAAATGCTTATCTATCTATATAATATATAGTATATACTTATAAAAAGCTAGTACCAGTGTATATATTTTAAAACTCTATAATAACCTATCCAATCCTTATAAAATACACTTAGAGTACATTATTTCGTAATTCTCAGACCTAATACAATAGTAATAGCAAGCGTGTGACGACATGGGACGCATATAGATTTCGCATAATCAACATTCAACAGATTATACAAACACAGACAATAATAAAATTTGTAAATACACATTTGTACGAGTACGTATAATATCTAAATACAATGATATATTATGTACTATGTTCATTTTTTATTTGAACGCACTAATCTCTGGAACTACCAATTACGTTTGAAAAATTTAGAGTTTTAAACAACTAATTGAACAAAGTTTAAATTACAGTTAATATATTACACCAGCTATCATACACAGAGTTACCTGTAAAAAATTAAATGCCCGTTATGCCTTCTCTACACATATCTTTAACACACTTTTTTATTTAGATTATTTTAATCATGTATAAAATATACAATTAAAATGATATCCAGTAATGATAACTATTTTATTTTATTTAACCAATGGTAACTATAGATGATAGTTTTTTTACACAACAATATGTATTCAAAATTTATGAGTTGGAAATAAAAACATAAATAATAAAAAAAAGCTGATAAGAGGATTCTACGGACACTACAGATTTTCTGAATCTATAAATTGACAAAAACTATGGAAATCAGTCGAAAACAGTGGATTTACATAAATCATCCATATTAGATCTTTAATTTTGTATAATAATTGATAAAAGTTGATTGTAGCAATAAATTAAAAAATGCCAATGGATTTACCCTATAAATTAAACATCGTTAAATAATGTAAACTATACACAGATTTTTAACATAGTTATTTAAGTAATTTCAACCAACTATAAAATACAAGTCCAAAATTATATTCAATTATAACAATCAATAACTATTTTATATTTATGCAATAATGGTAACCTGTACAAACAAAAATCCATGAGTCAACAACAAATCCCTACATGAGCCCCTCTTTCAAATGCAAAATTTAAAAATTTAGTTTCGAGGTACACATTCTCGGGTATAGAATTAGCTATGTGCCAAATTTCAGAACCACGAATGTGATAAACTTAGTTTTGGACCGCATTCATACACACAAACATAACCTTTCATTACATAGTTAGACCATTCTGGAAAATTACCGTTGTTTTTGTTTACTTATAAAATTATTACAAATAATTAATGACGTGATTAAATTACACTATGAACACATGCGTCATGCGTGTTTGGTGTGTATAGTGTATACTCGTATATGTAATATTAATGTGTAATACCAATAAAAATGTACAACATGATGCGCATAAGTATACTAGAGTGTAAATACATACATATAATATATATATATATATATATATACACATACATATTATATTCTATAAGAGTGCCGAAATATATATTGAAAACCCATCGACACTAGCTATACACGCACGGACTGTGCATATTTGATATTGTTATTATTGTTATATTATTAATTATAAAGTAGGTATCTATTCTAAAATTTACAATATGTTATTATTTTTATACTCACAGTGTTTGTGGACACGACTGGATGGATATTATATAAATGAGAGACCTATGCTGCTGTTGCTGTTGCGAAGGAGGACCATAAAACGTCAACACAACTACGAAAGTGCGGCCCGTGGGAGAAGGTTTTCGGCTATTATTTCGTTGGGCGGTGACGGCGGCGGTAGCGGCTGTAGTGGATTAGGCGGCGCAACGGCTGCAGTGATAATAATAATATCGTGGCGTTGCGAAGGAGCCGAAGAGGGGGGGGGGGAGAACGAGGAAAGGAAAATTTTTATTTTGGCAATTGGCGCTACGAAAAAATATTTTCACGGTTACACGTTGTAGCCGCCACGATTCTACTCGTATCGCAGGTCGGAAATTAAGGTCATCTCTATTTTTACGCGATCACCAACGGCTGTGATTATATTATTACACTACCTATATATATAAATTTTTTTATTATTGTGAAAATTGTCTAGAATGGTTTTTGTTAGAAAAAAAATAAAAATATACACACCTAAATGATTATACTCATCGTCATCGAACGATCCAGTATCCCATTAAATTCACCGTATCTTTGAAAAATAAATTTCTGTATTTTTTTACGATTTATTTGCCCTAAATAACGTATTATATATCATATATTTTATTTTATACATTCATATTTAATTATTATTTTTTGTATACGGGTTGATTTTTTCCCTTTGGCTTTTAATAATACATTTAGCGTCGTGTTTGGTTTCTTTTACAAAATATTCCGAAATACATGTATTTAGCAACACAATACTTTAATTATTTTTAGGAAATTTTTTTGCTTTTGAGAATGAAATTTAAAATGTATATTAATTCAATATGATAGAATATCAATAAAATATAAATATTAACATACTTTTTTTGATAAAATCTTGATAATAATTAAATAGGATAACGCATTATTTAAAATAAAATGTTCTGAAACACAATGTTTGATGGACGAAGCAGCTAAAAAAAAATAATGTCACCCAGTATAAAACGGATATATTGTATATATGTATAATCATGTATAATCATGTACACTTATATATTATATAGTATTATACACGAAATGGTATTGATCGGGCCAAAGTAATATGGCGCGCGCGTCTATACACACACAGCCAGCCAGCGCTGTGTGAACTTCTACACTACAATAAGCTCGTAAGTCGGAATAATAGTAAATTGTCTAGTAGAAAAAACGTCAAATCAAAATAATTCAATCATGGAAAAGATTGGGCTCGTCGGCATCATTTTTACGACTATAATGTTGTGATTGTAAATACAATTGCAATAAAAACATATTACCTGTATTATAAAATAAATAAATTAAGTATCTACTATTAATATTATTAATATACGATTATATATATATATATATATATATATAATGATTACGGTATTACTCGTAGAACTGAAAATTAAATCCATCGTTAATGAAAATATACGGATAAAGACTATTTCGTTCACTCCGTAGACCGGCTTAGCTTTTCCACAATTGCATATAATTATTTTAATATATTATTAAAGTTATTTTACTTATAAGTTATAACTAATTAAGTAGTGTAATTACTACAAAAACTTACTTTTTATTAAACAATGAATTACCTTGGTAGGTTTGCTATAGATTGTTCATCGTTTATTTTTAGTAAATTTAACAACACTTTATATAATACAATTGAACTAGGTATTATTTAAATCTTGAATAAAACAGATTTTAAAATTATATTTATTTTCTTCGATATTCTTCCCCTACATTGTGATTTTATAAGCAAAAAAAGTTATTTATGAGTGAATTCAATAAAAAACCATTAAATGAAAAAAAAAAGCAAAATTGCTATAAAGCTATTATATTATTTATTATTGTTATTAGTTATTACTAAAAGAGTTTTTTAATTCACAAATTCATATATAGTTAATAGTTATATAAAAATAAAATCAATCAAATAATTTGCTATTAAATTATAATAGATACAACTTTAAATTAAGATTATATATTAAATATTGAGCTTAGAACTTGTAAAATTTGTGTTAGAAACTCGTGTTATTTTTTATATAATCTTATATTAATTTGCTTCTATAAACTACTAAAATTAATAAGCTATAATTTCCATTTAATACTTTTATTATTATAATATTAACAATAATACCTATACTAATTAACAAACCTAACTAAAATTTTAATTACATTTCTATAAATCTGATAAATATTACACTGGATTACTCTGGATTACTGAAATGAATCATATTATATAAATATAATATAACAGTATAAAATAATAATTAATATCATTTAAGATTGACAATTGCAGTTATTTACTGCTTCTAAGAGATGATGTAAAATACACATATCATTATAAAATCAATACATTCATAATTTTGCTCCGAATCTAATATAATAAAAAAACATAATTATCGTAATATAAAGTATATACCATAGGTGTTATATATTATACTATAATACCTAAATGCCATAGGTAGTTCATATAAATATAACTATAATAAACATACACATAACATATTAAATATTCTAACTAATAAACTAAGTAGGTGTATAATAATGTACAAGTTATATCATTACCCGTAATAACTTATCACGACTTCATTGATTTTCATTAATTTTTGTTGTTTTCTAAATTTTGGTCAAAGCTATGAATATTGAATTAATTTTACTTTAACTTTTTAATAAAGTTAGTGAACTATATTGTACTAGTTAAAAATAAAATTATTCAATGTTCTTATTTTGCATTTTAAAGAAGCTTTGTAATTTTGAACAATTGAGATTCTACAATATCCTAAGACTGGTTATTATTTGCTAGCAAACAGATATTTCAAATCATTACTCAAAGGCAATAGTATTATATAGAAATTTAGATTTAAGCTTTAATTAAAATCAAACATATAAATATCATAAAATATATTTTACTTGTTATATAATATCATAACATCGCTCATTTAATTACTATTTAAGTACCTATTTGTCATTATTAATAAAGACTGAATATAACATTTTAAATATCCAAAAATTAATTGACATACAAGATACAAAAGTATATCAACTAGCTTCTTTATCAGTAGTTTGTAATTTATATACTATATATACATAAAATATATGCGAGTATAGTTAGTTACTAGTTAGTAGAATAGTAATAATATAATAGGTATAAACAATATATTTTGTTAAATATAATTTATTTATAAATTTTAACGTTAGAGTTTGTTTTTACTTTAAAATAATGCTAATAATAAAAGGGGATATTTCTGACTTTCCATTACTTTAATATGTATATACATTATACTTTTGTGAACACTATTAAATACATTTTTAAGGGATTTATATACATTTAGTTTGGTTTTAACTTTTAAATTAAATGTTAAGCACCATATATACTAATTTCGTATTACATATTTTTAATTAAGTAAATTAAACTAGCTATTATCTATTTTTAGTAATTTTTTATTTATGTTTTCGCAAAATATACCGAAATAGCCTATACTAAAACACCTGGTTATAACATGCATACAAAAAATCTACATACCTATTATACAAAATGTAAGGCATGAGTCCAATTTAAAAGGCTTTCAATTTGTTTTTCATAGTTGTACCAAAATATTTATAGTAAACTTTATGAACATTGAACAACTAAAGAAAAATTAGACGAAAAGACGTGTAACTGTGTATAAATATAGCTAGTACTTTATGTGCAGCACTAATTTACGATACTATATTATCAGTCTTTATTTAGTCGCCGTTTTAAATATAACTTTTGACCTGATAGTGTATTATTAACAACAAATTAAAATATAAGTAACGTTATACGCCGAGATTGATTAAACGGCGTATTGATTTTTTTTATATGAATTGTCCTAGGGGCTAGGATAGAAACAAATAGGTTAGGTACATCGAAGACGATATATATTAATTGCATTATCTTAAGCAAATTGATATATTGACTTGGGAGTTTTAGTTATATTACGTATATAGTAAAATTATGTTAATCGACCAACGAGCGTATGTCGACAGAGATTTGTTCGTTTATGATTGTTTGTCTAAATGCGTAGGTATAGACAAAGCAAAAAAAAAAACAAAAGTCAACATTATATTGTAATCAGTAATCTAAATTGTATATTTAGGTTTACTAGAGCGTACGCAATGGTATCAGCTTAGTGAATCCTATTATAACCAACGCTTGGGTGTTATTCTATTACACCTGCAAAGGGTCAGCGCCGTGTAAATAATAATGAAAAAAAGAACAGTATACTTTAACCCTCAGTGTCCGCTGTATGTTATGTAACTCAATGTAAACTATATATATATGTGTGTGTTATGATTGTTGTTTGGTGTCGAACGAGTCAAAACATATTCCGCCAATCAAAATGATATGGGTGAGTGGAACAGATTTTTAATCAGAAACACACTTATTTTATATAAAAAAATCCCTATGATATACACATACCTACAAATTACAATAATATGCGCGTCATGTGATTTTTATTCACGTTTTTATCGTTTAAAATAATAATGTTTTATATTACCGTTTAGTGTACTTTTAATTTTTATCTGTATAATTTGAGTGTATATGTATGCATTGTTGCTGTACAATATAGGCTACCTATATTATCTGGTACATGCATATATCTCGAAATATTAAAATCTGTAACTTTAATTTGTTGAATCTTAACACCTTTATAATAATAAAACATATACATAATAAAATACACAAATATCGGTAATAACTATTGAGAAGTGACACAAGGAAAATTTAAATTATACATTTAAAAAGAAAAAAATTATCACTCTTCCGCGTAAGTACTTAACACTTAATATTCAATATTTGCAACATTGTCCTGGTTTCTACACATTTTTAAAATGAAGCTTTGTCTTGTAAGTTGTGGACGTCTTATAATATCAATAAGTTTTTTATTTATTTTATATAATTTTATATTGTTGACAATTTTATTATAACTTCGATATGCATATAGATAGAATACTCGTACAATAGGTATTATTACCTATATGGCTATACATATTCTATATCAGCAGTCGTCGTAACGATTTTTAATTATTCTACTTAAACCCGTGACTGTACAGTCGTATAGGTTTAAATGTCAATTTTTAAAACATTGGATTATTTTTTAAATAATGTTCATAGATCATATTTGATTATATTGCATAATCAAAATGAGAATATAAGGTAACGATCAAGAGAAATTTAAATTAACTAATACTATTTTGAATAGTGATCTGTGTAATTACTTTTTACTCAATGACAGTGCCTATAATGCGTGCTAAATTCGTACACTATCAGAACAACCAAGCTCTATTTTTAATTGCAAATAGAGCCATAGGATTTTAATATGTTGTAAAATCTCAATCTAAAAAAGACTAATTTTAAGAGGTCTGACCAATAAATTACTCGAATACTGGCTTGAAACTAAAGGATGATGAAATGGAAGTCTAAAGGATTTTTAAGAATACGTATATACGAAACCACGTCCTTACATCTTTTTTCTTAATACAACTATTAGCAATAATATAACGATAATATTATACAACTTGCTATTACAATATGTCAATATATATCACACACTATATAAGTACGATTCGTGCGCGTATTCCCATTAAACTCGTTTACAATAAAAAACAATTGACTAATTAGTTTTTGAATAATTTCTGCTTGTGACCATGGCATTGGACAAGTATTCTACATTATACATAAGATATAGCAAGTTCTCGTTGTATAAAATGCAAATTTAATTAAAAATACTACATACCTGTCGACTATCTGACAGTGTGCTTAGGAACGTCCGATGTGCATGATACAGTTTTATAATATTAAACGAATATATTATTGTATTTTACACGCCTAAAAACAATTACATTAACTAAAATTTTATTTTATTTATTTTTTTCAGCGAGTTTAATGACAAATTTGTTTTTTTTGTACGGGATTTATGTTCTTCTTATTATCGGCCAGACCGCACTAAGTTCACAGTAAGTAAATAACCTATTTAATTACAAACGTTTCTCTCCGAAAATCGTGTTCCAACTTTAAATTTTAATACGCGTTGTAGTATAATATACTATTATAGAATTGTTGTGGCTAATTATTTGTTCGTCTACAACTATTTAAAAAAACCATACATATACCTTAATCACAATTAAATGATGTTCTACCATTCAGGAAACTTAGTCATATAGTCTGTTAATGTTGTTTAACTAATAATACCAAGTCGATCTTATTACAATTTAAGTACCATCTTACTGTATGTTATGACACTAATTTTTAAATCATCATAAAATAAACATAATTAAAAAAACGTTTTTGTACTTAAATACACAGCAATTAACATTTTAAATATGTTCTCGAATGAAAATATAAATGGAAACCTAACAAGTTAAAGAAGTTACATAAAAGTAAAACATATAGATATAGATAATATTTTTCCTCGATAATTTTTTACGGCAAAAGTAGTTCGATGAAATATTTATAAATATCAGATTTCAACGAATTAAATTACTATAGAAAATTGCTTGAAACATAAAAATATGGAATTATCAAAAGTAATAAATATGTTTTAAAAGTGTTAGTTAATTGTTTATTATTGGTTCTATCACTTATCTGTAATAAATGACTAAAGAAATTCTGATTGAACAATATTCTAATTAGATTTTACAAATTTAGCTTAAGCTAAATAATATAATATATATATTATACATATCTCCCTAAGTATAAAATATATATATTTTTTTTTTTTTTTAAGAGTGAAATATTGATCATTTTATGTCCTTGGAATAAACATATTCTTTGTAGTCACATATTTTTTATGTACAAAAGTTTGTATCAAACAAATTTTATTTTTAAGTTTCAAAATTTAATAACGATTTAAAAATACAAAAAATACTTGATGTGATTATATAAGTACTATTTATAAATGTAGAACTCTTAGAACATATACTACTGATATTATAAATACAAAATGAACATTTATGTCAAATGTAAGTTTCACAAAATTTTAAGTTACATTTTGAAAATGTCAAAAAAAAAAAACAATAGTATTTTTTATAAAACTTCAATAATGATCAGAGACGATAATTTATTAACATGAATTTTAAATCAATAATAATAAATTCGCCACTTCTACAAAATTGTTGTATTGTAATATATGAGTCGTAATATTTGAACGGTGTATACATATTGATGTTTTCCTGTTTTATTTGATAATTAAAATTTAAAATAGTTACAAATATTTAAATAATGTACAATTGTACACATTAAATAAAACTCGTGTAATTGGTATCATAGGTATTAACTCAAATTATAACCTGTAATATTAAAATTTTTATAAATGTATAACTACCTATAACTAAATAACATATTTACCACTTAATGTTACGATGAAATAAAAATATATTACTTTTCGATATTTTGAATTTATAGATATTAAGATTATGCGACATTTGCTATTTTTCATTCAGTCATTTATAACCTCCTTACTTCTCTCTACATGGTACATAGTTAATGTCTCATAATTCATTAGATAATAAAAACATAATATGATTCTGTTTTGTTTTTGGTGAATTTTAGTAATGAAATAAATTATAATTAAACAGCGTTACGAATAAGCATTTTATCATCATGAAATTTTGATTTTATTCATTTTACATTATTACGAATAGCTGTTCCTGATATTTTATAAGTACCTATTATTTATTAAACAACAAATTGATAATCAAGTTACAACTGTAGTAGTTATAATAATATGTCATGACTCATGAGTAACAGAATGCAATTAAATATAATTGAAAATGAAGTAATTAGTAATTACCTATTGTATAAATTTTTTCCAAACAAAATTAATTTATGAATAAATACATTTATTTTATAAGATAGTTTCATGGAAACTTATGGAATACTGAATTTAATTATCAACTCCCGTTTGTAATAGCTCTTATATAAACTTCAAACCTCATTTGGCGGCACTTCATTTGGCACTCCCGCAACCATCATTCTTACACCACATCATTCTTACACTACATTATAATAATAATTATAATAATAATTATTATTATTATTATTATTATTAATACTCTTGTCGTCTATTAATTAACCGTGGAGTGTTTTTAGACCGACCATTTTAGACGCCTGCACACCCAACTTCACTGACACAGCCATGTAGTTCTAGTTATGAAAATAAAAGCAAATCGTGAAATACAGGATCTCTTATTATTATAAAATATACTAAAAACAGTTTACTTACAAAAATTTAATTTAATATTCGTTTATAAGACAAGTTTCGAGAAAAATCATAACTGGTAATTCGCGTATTGTAACATTGTCAAGCTCATAAATCTACAGAATTATAGTTATGATTATAATCAACCCAATACCCCTGTCTAACCATCTAATTTACTCATAAATATCTTTAAAAAAATCTAACTAAAACACATTAAAACACATTTCATTTGCTTCAATAAGTTAAATTTTATCACGCTGTACATAGATAGGTAAAAAAATATGAGTTATACACAAACATATTGCTAATAAATAATAACAATCGTAATGTATGTATTATTACAATCCATGTATTATGGTACCTATTTAATAATTTTTACATTTTATTACTAAACATAACATTTTCAATATTTTCAACATAAATTAATGCAACAGACAATGAAATACTACAATAATACTTAATGAAAATAAAAAATGGTTGTTTGTAATTGGTATTAAACATAAAAAACATAATGATTACCAAAAAAAAAAAACATAATGGATACCTTAATGGTTCATTTGATTTATAGTTGGTGCATAGGCGAATATTTGATTGAATTTAAGGGGGACTTAAATCTTTCTTTGCATTGTTGCAAAATAAGTACCTATTTAATACTTTGAAAAATGTTCAATAATTTTGGGAGGCTTTCGATTTTTGGAGGGGCTAATCCCTCCCCCCAAACACCCCTAATCTCTACCTATGAGTTAGTGGTGCAAATAAGAGTAAATAATGATGCATGGGATCTGCTGTGTCTTTCTGGAACTTTAAAGTGTATTAATGATGAAAGGTAAGGAGTAGCAGCTTTACCATATAACAACCTATATAGGAATTGAAATTTTAAAATCCCTCTGCAATTAACTAGCAAATCTAATTCAAAAATATATATCATTCTATTTATATTTTAAAAATAAATAAATAATGTTCTTATACATCTGAAAACATGTGCTGGGTAATCAACTTTTTTTCGATTCGAATATCAAAAATAATAAACCAATATGAAATCCAATTGTACATAACACAATAACACTATATTATATAGTATATACTATATACAAATAAATAAATAAATAAATAATGAATGTGTTTACCAATCAAACATCTATAAAATGTAATAAACCACTCTAGACGACTATCAAATATTTATGGCCCACTCAACGCGATGCTATCTGATGATGATTAATTGGTTAAATATTATTAAAATTGATACACAATAATAGTAATTGGTTATAGTGATTTTCCTTAAAAATGAGATATCATACTCCACTGTTCGTTTATCTCTAAAAAAAAAAAACACAAAACACAAAACTTAGTTAGATTTTTTTCCACTATTATCAAAAGAATTTTCTAAAATGTAAAAAAATATTATTATTTTTTTTAATAATTTATAACTATAAGAATTTTAAACTTAAATATATTATATACATTATCGTCGAATTTTTTTAATTACCTTTATCTTATAAATATTAAGAGTATTATACGAGTATAATAATTATTATTGTGAATATATAAGAATACAAATAAAACAATTTGTGTCGAAACCATATACATATAAATATGAATAAAATTAATAATTTTAATATTTTAAAAATTAATAGGTACCTCTACATGGCTACATTATGATTTTAATATTTGAAGAAGTGTATATATGATTCGTTGTTTCAAAAATTAGCTGGGAGGAAAATAACCAGAACAGGAAAACGATATCTTATTTTTGAAGAAAAATAGTACAACCAAGAATCGGTTCTGGTAAAAATGTTATAGTTTTATAATATGACTGTTCCTTATAACAGACCATCACACCTCTTTTGCCATAACAAATTTAGGTTTGCGTGATTACAGAAACTATCAGTATTGTTACGTAAAACGGATACGTGGCAGCCATCTTCAGCGTTATTGGTACCATATCCTATAAAAAAATTACTTAAATAACTAATAATTTCTTTTGGTAAAATCTAACCAAGGAAATAGTCTCCTTTTTAATTATTTTTTTCCGTCAATATCACTCTTAGTATTTTTATTTTTTACTTAATCATATTTTCGTTTTTTGTATAATATACCTACTTTTATCAGATTTACTTATTGTGCTATAATATAACATGGATTATAAAAATTAAAATTAAAAAATTAAATTATATCATGACTAATTTTTAATTTTAAACTTAATTTACATTTTCCGATATAACTTAACAGATTTAAAATATTAATTTACTTGCCTAGCCTTTTCAACATTTTAACAAACAGTAACGACATTATAAAATATTGTATTGAACAATTAACATTATCATACAATTTAATATAATTTCATCACTACACAAACGTTTATAATACCTCTGCTATTGTAGTATTATATAAATATTTTTGACTTGTAACTATAAATTATTATCACATCTCGTTTTCTCTTAAACTTGAATTTACCTTTTATATAGGTAACGAATAATCCTAAATCGAATAAAGAAACCACTCTTTTATTTTATTTTTGTATCTTAGGAATGGGGATTTTGAAGTTCCCAATCATCTCCTTATTTGCACCTGTAAATAGTACTCATCAATAATCGATATTTTTAATATATTAAAAAAAAAAACTATGATCTATCAATAAACAAAGCATATTGTAAGTGTTAAAATGATTATGACCTATCGTGATTATACCAACCGATAATGGTCGACATGTTGAATGTTACCACCACCGATAATCAACAGTCACACATTTCTGAAGTGAAACTTCTTAAAGGGCGCTAAAAAAATAAATCTGTATCATCATCGCGCGTCGTTGGTCGGGCTTTATGACACATCAAAAAAAAAAAAAAAAAATCGGTTTCGACTCCTCCCCGCGAATTTTTTGCACCCATTCATAATGGAGTGACGGGTCCGACGCCGGACGTTTTGGTTTGACCTCGCGGAGAAAAAGAAATTTCACTTCATCCCACCCCGCACTCGCAACACTCACAATACCTTTTTCGATTTACTCAGCCCGCCGTTTACTGCCACTTATATATCATGCGTACTGCAGGTTTGCGCGTTTACAGGAAATATCGGCACTGTTACGCGCGGCATCACAAACGATCCGCCAGCCCGACATTCAGGTACCGGCCGCACGTGTCGGCGTGCGCGACGCCGCCGCCGTCGTCCGCCGTGGCCACCTCCGAAGATGGCTGCGAAGTATCGCAACCTCAGTCGACCGAACAGCCACCGGTGCGGTGGCGGTTACCTGCACCGTCGCCACCGACTTCGCCACCGCCACCGCCGCCGTCCACCGACGACGTCTGGACGCCGGGCCGCAAACTGCACAAACGCCTGTTGCTGGTCACCGGACAGGTGTACCACGAGTTCATAAGCGAGTGTTCGATCACGGAACAGGCGCGCGACCTGCACGAACTAGACTCGATGCTCCGGCGAGAACCCGGCGCCGGCGACTTCGTGCTGGTCCAGGTGGGCACGGGCTGGCGGCTCAATGTCCGGCTGCTGGACGTGCTGGTCGACAGGCTGGGCAACATATCGGTGTACGCGGACAAGAAGTATTATAGCAAAACGATGACCAAACACTGCCGGAACATCGGCGACCGGTGCACGCTGCTCGCCAACCTGGTTCCCGTTATCGAGCAGCTGGAGCGGCCACAGGAATTCGGCGACGGCGGCGGCGGCGGCGTTACCATGTACGACCCGGACTGGATTCAGGTGCCCGCTGTGCCGCCCCTACCCCGCAATTTCACCGGCAACACCGAGAAGCAAATCGAATACCTGACGTGGCGGCTATGCGTCCGAGACAGACGTCAAAATTTCTACTACAAACTCGACCAGGACTCACTGCGGTCCCCCTTGAGGTACAGGCGCTGCTTCGGCCACAACCGTCATCCGCAACCCAATACCCGCTTGTCCACCCACACACATATACCTACACACACACACACACACACACACACACACACACACACACACACACACACACACACACACACACACACACACACACACACACACACACACACACACACACACACACACCCCCACACCCACACACACACACACACACACACACACACACACACACACACACACAC